AGAGTGAAAAATTTAAGGGGGTCTGAATACTTTCCGTACCCACTGTATATATATATTTCAGTTTCCATTAACTATAATAACTCTGGTACACAATGTACTTACGTAAGTTACATAATATTTACAACAGGAATGAAACGGAGAAACTAACCTTACTCATTGTTTGACGGATCAAACTGGCGGTTACATTTAATGACTGATCCTCCATATCCACCTTGGGCAGCTCTGGTAATTTTGGACCAATCAGAGTCTCAGTTTCAGATGCTTCATTCAAAAAGAACACTTGTTCCTCCAACTTTCTTTTTCTACTTTCTAAATGTGTAGTCCTCGGCATGAATCTAACAGAAGGTGAAAGGTTCTTTTGCACATGACTCAAATCTCTCTCTTTAACACTTGAAGATGAGGAGGATGCACTCTGCTTTGATGATTCTGGGACAGGAGGCATGGAATTATGTAGAGAGCCCAGCTTATCCTCTATGGGTAATGTTGTATCTGTGGTCCACTGCAACGGTAATGGCTGTGCAAAACCATGAATTCTGTAAGAAACATCCTCCACTGGGAGTGAAGGAAGCACAGGAAAGCCCATGTCGTCAGAGTTTTCATTCTCCATTCTGGCATTTTCAGAGTCTTTCTGAACCTCAGGTGCTGCAGCTGCTCGTGTGTCTCTGCTCGATGACTCTCTGATTTCTTCTAGTTTCTGATTGTGATGTTTTGCTAAAAATTTTTTTTTTTAGATTTTCTTCAGATGTAACTTATTAGGAGACAATTCATATGATTTAAAATACCTGTATTTTGGCTTGCTCTGTTAACATATCTTCTCCTGTCCTGTAACTTTTGCCTTTCAAGCACACCAACACCATGGTCATTTAACCAACTTTTGGTGCTTTTGGCAGTGTGGGCAGGTGCCAAATCCTGCGGGAAAATGAAATCAGCATCTTCAAAAAGCTGGTCAGCAGAAGGAAGCATGAAGTGCTCCAAAACTTCTTTGTAAAAGGGTGCAGTGACGTTGGTTTTCAAAAAACACAATGGACCAACACCAGCAGATGACATTGCACCCCAAATCATTACAGACTGGAAACTTAACACTGGACTTCAAGCAACTTGGGCATGAGCTTCTCCACCCTTCCTCCAGACTCTAGGACCTTGGTTTCCAAATGAAATACAAAACTTGCTCTCATCTGAAAAGAGGACTTTGGACCACTGGGCAACAGTCCAGTTCTTCTTCTCCTTCGCCCAGGTAAGACGCCTCTGACGTTGTCTGTGGTTCAGGAGTGGCTTAACAAGAGGAATACGACAACTGTAGCCAAATTCCTTGATATGTCTGTGTGTGGTGGCTCTTGATGCCTTGACCCCAGCCTCAGTCCATTCCTTGTGAAGTTCACTCAAATTCTTGAATCGATTTTGCTTGACAATCCTCATAAGGCTGCGGTTCTCTCGGTTGGTTGTGCATCTTTTTCTTCCACACTTTTTCCTTCCACTCAACTTTCTGTTAACATGCTTGGATACAGCACTCTGTGAACAGCCAGCTTCTTTGGCAATGAATGTTTGTGGCTCCTTGTGAAGGGTGTCAATGATTGTCTTGTGGACAACTGTCAGATCAGCAGTCTTCCCCATTATTGTGTAGCCTAGTGAACCAAACTGAGAGGCCATTTTGAAGGCTCAGGAAACCTTTGCAGGTGTTTTGAGTTGATTAGCTGATTGGCATGTCACCATATTCTCATTTGTTGAGATAGTGAATTGGTGGGTTTTTGTTAAATGTGAGCCAAAATCATCACAATTAAAAGAACCAAAGACTTAAACTACTTCAGTCTGTGTGCATTGAATTTATTTAATACACGAGTTTCACAATTTGAGTTGAATTACTGAAATAAATGAACTTTTCCACGACATTCTAATTTATTGAGATGCACCTGTATGAGAGAGCAGATCCTCCAGACAAACATAGTGGCCATGTTAAGTAATGTGTCATCAAATTATTTGGAAACAGAAATGTGGCTTATGACAAGGGAACATTAGTCCTGTATATCTACTTAAGGCCCGGGTATACTTCACTCTCTGCATCCTGTTCCTGTGTCTAAGTCATGCAAAAGCTGTTATATTTAAAATGTACCAAACCACTTTTCAATCTGATGTCTGTCAAAGTCTTTAAAATATTTGTAATGCTCCAAAACCATTTTTCTAAGTAAAAAGGTAAAACAACTGATGTAGCATCTATAACAATTTTTCTAATTATCTGTGAAATGCACTAGCAATTTCTGAATGAAAACTGTTTTCAGTGTGAATATATTTGCTGCAGCATGAAATCTATTTTGCTTGCCATGTAGAAAATTAATTAGCAAGAAACAGTACAAAATGCTCTTTTTCTACCTTTTCAGTCTTTTCTAATTATACTGGCATATAGTTATAACTTAAGTAAATTATTTCTAAAATCACCACCAGGGTTTCATGACAAAAAATGTGTAGGTTTATGCACCAAGTGTTTCTGTGCATTTGAGTTGAATTACTGAAATAAATGAACTTTTCCACGACATTCTAATTTATTGAGATGCACCTGTATGTGAGAGCAGATCCTCCAGACAAACATAGTGGCCATGTTAAGTAATGTGTCATCAAATTATTTGGAAACAGAAATGTGGCTTATGACAAGGGAACATTAGTCCTGTATATCTACTTAAGGCCCGGGTATACTTCACTCTCTGCATCCTGTGCCTGTGTCTAAGTCATGCAAAAGCTGTTATATTTAAAATGTACCAAACCACTTTTCAATCTGATGTCTGTCAAAGTCTTTAAAATATTTGTAATGCTCCAAAACCATTTTTCTAAGTAAAAAGGTAAAACAACTAATGTAGCATCTATAACAATTTTTCTAATTTTTTGTGAAATGCACTAGCAATTTCTGAGTGAAAACTGTTTTCAGTGTGAATATATTTGCTGCAGCATGAAATCTATTTTGCTTGCCATGTAGAAAATTAATTAGCAAGAAACAGTACAAAATGCTCTTTTTCTACCTTTTCAGTCTTTTCTAATTATACTGGCATAGTTATAGTTATAACTTAAGTAAATTATTTCTAAAATCACCACCAGGGTTTCATGACAAAAAATGTGTAGGTTTATGCACCAAGTGTTTCTGTGCAAGTAAAAAGGTGATGTTTGTATCTCTTTTTCAGTCAATAAAGATGAAAGACTTGCAGAATCAGTTTCAGTCTTTTTTTATCCATAAAAACAAGAAATCAAGAGTCAATTTCAGGAACATTCCATCTATTTGGACCAACATGGCTTGCAATGAAAAACAACAATTTCAAAATCTTTTTTTGGAATGATGCTGTCAGTGTCTTTAGTGTTTAAATATAAAACAAAGGTGGCGACTTACAATAATCCCACTGTAATGCTGCACTTCTTTGTAACTAAAAGAAGATTGAAAATGAAAAAATGACAAACCACTTGCTTTTCAGCATTCAGAACAACAGTCAAAATCCCACAGGACACATTCAGGTTTTTTCATTATTGTGGTACTAAAACGGTGTGAAGTCCGAGTCACTGTCGGAGTCAGTCTCATTGGGTGATTTGTCTCTCTCCAGGTGCAGCTCTCTGACAGTAAGGATACGTGTGAGCATGCTGTCCAGAGCCTCATCACTCAGAGAGGTGGTTGAGAACCATGTGGGACTGCTGGGTACACATGAGCGCTCGGGGCTCAGGTAAAACTGGGTTGTGTCATGTCTTATGCCGGGTGAACTGGAAGAAACAACATTGTATGACAACCAAATACACCATGATTTGTTTTATTAAACAAAATGCTGACATACCATTTTGAGAGATAGAACTCGTACAGCCTGACAGGACAGCGGAGGGGATTGTCTGAATTCTGCCGTATTTTTAGCACCCTTTGCCGTTCATCTTCCTTCTTCTTCTTCTTTAGAGGGACACCGTCTAAATTGGACAAAACGACTAGTAGAAAAATAATTAACAAAAAACACACTATGAAAGGTATAACTGACCTGTGCTTGCATCCTCTTTTGGGGGATAGAAACGCAGGAAGGACACTTTGTTGTTGGCCTGTCCTCGAGAGTAGCGTTTGATGTGGCCAAAAGAGAGGCGACGGTGCTGCTCTGCTGTCTTGTAGTTGAAGTACTTGGAGAAGAAATAGAGCAGCGTGTTGAGCAGCACACCAGGTGAAAATGCCCCCAGCTGTTTACAGTCCCACAGATGATACTCCTCCACACGAGAATGAACGTAACCTGAGCAAACAAACAGACATGTTTGTGGAGCAGCAGCAAAACAAGCTAGTCACACATTTGTGTTTTTAATTGCTCACCACTGGGCAAAATAGTTGGTTTCCACCCTCTGAGTATGTTGCTCATTTCATGGCAGAATTTGGTGTAGAAGACGTCTGCGAAGATGCTCTCCATCCGATTGTTCTCAAACAGGTACTGCAAATATGAACGACATGAGATAAAACAAATCAACTATATAACATGACTGAATGTGTTCAGTTTGTGTGGTTTCTTTTCAATTTACCTGCTGGATTCCCAAGCAGAGATAAAAAATGCTGTCAGGGCTGTATTTCTCTCCGTTGGGTCGACGAACCTCAGAAATGAACTTGCAGAGGCCATAGCTTAGTTCAGCCGTGCAACACTTCAACAAGTCCTCCTTTAGTGTCATACTGCGTGCTATTGATGATGAAGTAGTGTTTAATGCTTAAATGGCACAAAATCTGTCTACGATAAGTAAAAATGACTAATTAATCCAAATTTTTATTGTTGATTTAATTATTCATTTTACCCAAGATAATGTGACCCAGTATTGCTTCTGAATAAACTATTTTAAAACATAGAATTTGTTTTTGGGATGAAATGCTGGATAAAAAGCAAACTGAGGCTTACAGACAAATTTGAGAGTCTCTATGTTGGGTTGGGCGTTCCTCCAGCGTACCCACTTCTTCCAGGCTTTGACTCCGTATTCATGTTGCAGTTTGGAGAGGTTGTTTGGAGGTGCTGATGCACACTTACTGCCCTACATTCCAACAAAACACACAATAATCAGAAATAATCCATAATGATATGATACGTTAAGAGTTGGTTGGTGGTCAGGAATAATTATGCTTTAGTTCTTACTTGTTTCTTCTCAGGGAAGCCATCATGTCCTCTCTTGCGTGATCTCTGTTTGCCAGAATTTATCTCCTTTTGCATTTGCTTTCTGAAAAGTTCAATGCTTTCTGAAATGTGAAAGGATAAAGATGTATGAAATACGAATGGAAGATAAGAAAAAACCTGTTGGTGTGTTTTAACCTCTTAGCCACAGTAGAAGCTCTTACCGATTGGGAAATCAGCCTCCAAGTCCATCTGTGGCTCTTCTGCTGCAGTGGAGACTGGAGTCACTGTGGCAGATCTGGACGGAGGAGGCCTCTCAGGCTCTGGGGTTTGGTCCCATGTCTGGGCAGAAGACACAGAGTCCTCCTCCCAACTCAGATTGCTGGATAGATCTTCCAAATCAAGGCCCTCCATTATGCTACCAGTCTGATCTGAGCAACAAAACAGGTGGCTTCAAAGATATGTATGTGACCAAAACTATTAAATGTGCATTTGTAGATGTATTATACAGCCTAAAGACCATAACCCTCAAATTTTCCATTATTTACCACTAGAGATGATTTGTTTCTCCTCCTCTGCATCCTCAGCCACCATCTCTGCCATCATGATGAGGTCGGCCTCCAGAGGGTTATTAGGGATCTTCTCTTTGATTTCCTGAATGGTCTTCACAATGTGCTCGGCACTGTCCAGAGTTGTAGGGAAGAACATGGGCACCGGAACCTGCATAGAAGCTATTATTACATCATAGTCTACAAAACTACATTGAGTCAGAGAGGCAACTGTCTACATATCTCCTTTTAACAAGTTTAAAGGAATATTCAAAGCTAAATACACTTTTGTGATATGCTGTTAACACAGAAAATAATTCTGACTCGGAAAGTGAGGAGGAGGAAGGGTAGATAGTAGATGTACCGGAAGTGGAAGCCCCACAGACTGTGGAATGTATTGAGTGTAGAGATGCATGGGAACTGGCACATACACTGGCACTGGCACAGGTAGTACTATCACTTTAGGAGTTCCATCTGCAGGATTAAAAAAAGGAGAAAAAAAGTGTCAGGATATGCAACTGTAGTTGTTTACTAAAGGGGGAAACACAAACGGGGAAGTTCTGTCCAGAATAAGGTTGCTAAAAAGTGAAGTCATTGTCACACTGGAGCTGGTTAGTACCTATTTGTGTCTCAGCATCACAGGTGTGGGGTTTACAGGACGTGGCTTTGTTTTTGCTTATGGATTTATGAGGCAAGTCCTTGTCATTCCGTGTTTTGGATGACGAGACAGGAGCTTTCACAGCACGTTTCTGTGAGCAGAGCAAATAACAAGATATTTGTTTACAGCAAATCAGACTGATCTAAACAAGCATTACTGGAAAAAAGAAAAAAAAACACCGGACAAATTAGACAATTTGAATCCTGATTCTGCTTTCAATAAGTATAGAAAGTTTTCAGTTTTTAGACTGTGGGTATAAATACTGATTTTTCCTGAACTCACATTTCCTGTGACTTTTACAGGAACAGAGCCTGAGGAAACACAGGGTTAAATATGAATGATTTGAGCAACAAACAATGCATCTCAGTCTTTAATCATATGCATTATGTAAAAGTGTTTTGTTCAGGTTGACATGAGGGTTTAGATAGTTAATGCTTCTGAGGATAATCACCTTTTGGATTTGTGCTTCCCAAAACACCTGGCTGATCGTTGGATGCACTTGAAAGCGAGACGACATTTGCAATGACTGGTGTGCCCTCTTTAGTACTTTGAGGAACTGCAGAGGATACTGGGGTCACACCTGTGGAGACAGTGACAGCACAGGACTCCAGACTAAAGAAAATGAAACTTTTAGGATGTAATAACTTTAGCCAGCCAATTACAGAATCTACAGAACAAAGACTGGATGGGATAAAAGCAGACCAATACACCCAAATATCTGTAGGAAGACATACCTTTTGTGGCTGGAGATTTACTTGTAGCTTTGATAACGGCTCCAGTGATGCCCTGCAGACTGCAGAAGAACATCAGGCATCGCAGGCTGCAGAAATGCTTCATCTCACCCAGCCATTTCACAGTCTCAGTCATCTTCTTCATCTGCCTGCACATTGAGCACTTTATTTCCTGTCAAAATTGTGCAGCAGGAACATTTACTGTTACTTTCAGAAGCCACATCTGTTGCATAATGCCTTAAAGGGATAGTTATGATAATTATGATTTTTTTAAGTCCAGCCGTTGCAGTCTATCAGCTGCATAATGCATGGCAATGGTAACAAAATCTATGGGAGTAAAAAAAACATGCACAGACAAATACAAATTAAACCCTGCGGCTTGTGACGACACATTGATGTCCTAAGACACGAAGCGATTGGTTTGTGCGAGAAACCGAACAGTATTTATATAATTTTTTACCTCTAATACAACACTATGTCCAACTTCCTTGAGCTCTGGCGTAGTTTACGTTACAAACCGCTCGTTTCGTGTCTTAGGACATCAATGTGTCGTCATGGGTTTAATTTGGATTTGTCATGTGCATTTAACTCTCATAGATTTTGTTACATTGCCATGCATTATACGACTGATAGACTGCAACGGCTGGACTTAAAAATCATAATTTGTGTTCTACTGAAGAAACAAAGTCACCTACATCTTGGATGCCCTGGGGGTAAGCAGATAAACATAACATTTTCATTTTTGGGTGAACTATCCCTTTAAGTCTAATGATGCAGCACAATGGTACTTTAAAACAACATGTGACCGACAAATCCAAATTAAACCCATGACGACACATTGATGTCCTAAGACACGAAACGAGCGGTTTGTAACGTAAACTACGCCAGAGCTCAAGGAAGTTGGACATAGTGTTGTATTAGAGGTAAAAAATTATATAAATACTGTTCGGTTTCTCGCACAAACCAATCGCTTCGTGTCTTAGGACATCAATGTGTCGTCATGGGTTTAATTTGGATTTGTCATGTGCATTTAACTCTCATAGATTTTGTTACATTGCCATGCATTATACGACTGATAGACTGCAACGGCTGGACTTAAAAATCATAATTTGTGTTCTACTGAAGAAACAAAGTCACCTACATCTTGGATGCCCTGGGGGTAAGCAGATAAACATAACATTTTCATTTTTGCGTGAACTATCCCTTTAAGTCTAATGATGCAGCACAATGGTACTTTAAAACAACATGTGACATTTTCACTGGCTTTTTCTACATAACTAAATAAGTAAATAATTAATTAAATACCTAACCAGCTATATAACTGCATAACTAACTAAACAACTAACAAAAGTAAACAACTAAGTAAACAAACTAAGTAAACAACTACAACTAAAACTATGAAGCCTGCTTAGTTAGTAAATAACTAAAGTATGAAACCAAGTAAATTAAATAACCAAATAAATAACTACATAATTAAATAACTAAGTAAGTAGATTAAATAAGAAAATGACCAAATAAATAACTACATAACTAAATAGCTAAACAAACAACTCAACTACACAAGTAAACAACTAACTAAATAAAATATTACCTGACGGATCAATAAATTATGTTTTAACAAGCAATCATTCCCACAGAACTCCTCTTGTTTGCCATCAAAGACATCAGTCACTACAGTCTTAGAAGTGCTGTTACAGTAGAAGCAGTTGCAACAGTGTTTCTTTCCCCGGCGTTTGAAGAGGCTATTCTCAAAGAGTGTCTTGCATCCTGTACAGAAAAGCAAACCACAAACACAAGGTCCGTATACAAATTGATATGGTTATTAATTTAATGTTAAAATACTGCCAAACAATAAAATAAAAACAAGGTCCTAATTATGCTTATAGCTTACTCTCACTGCAGAAAGAACGGTCAACCTTGTTTATCCTTCTCACTATTTTTACAATTTTATCAAGCTTGCAGTATTCACAGCGAGCCTCCATGCGGTAGATCCTTCTGAACTCATCAATACAAGTGTTACCACAGAAGGTGTACATTTTCCTCTGAAAGATCAGATAAAAAAAAAATAAAAAAATGTTACAAGCATGTACTCAACCAGGACCTCAGGCAACTAAAAATAAACCTGTAGGTTGGTTAATAGTAATAATGACAAACTGGAACAAATCAGGAACAAAAAAAATTATTTTAAAACAAAGTATTTGTAATGGGCCTAATAAAACAAGTAGGTCTAGTGAAAAGGAGTACCCTAAACTCCAGCAGCTCTGGTCTGTGAAAGAACGAGTTCAGACACTGAAAGCAGGGGATCTTGGTGACTGTCTGCGCCGGACCACTGGAAGAGCTAGTCTTCACTGATGAGCTGGAGTCTGAGGAAGCAGGTTTGGGGGCAGCAGGTTTTGGGGTAGATGTGCTGTTGCTTGTAGAGGTTACAGTATTTACCGGCATGATAGGTTTCATCTTACTGAAGGACTCCTGAACCAAGCAAAACAAAAACCAACACAAACTGACATCATTCAAATCAATCAATATGTATGACTACTATAATATTTTAAAGGCGATCAGTGGCAGACATGACAGAACTGTACCTGATATGCTAGTACACAGGAATAAGAGCAGAAGTTCTGAACGGATCCATCAAGCATGGATATGTGGTATTGAGGCACTAGTTTCAGCTTGCAGTTGTTGCATTCCACTGCAATACCTTGTTTGCATGCAGACAATAAAGACATTCAAGCATAATTTTCCAAACAGAACAAAATTAAACCGTTTTAAATGTCAAATTGTTTATACAAAAATTAAAATGTAGTCACAATTTACACAAAATCTTAATTTACTCACCATCAAGTCGTTCCAAACCTGTAAGACTTTCATTTGTCTGTAGAACACAAAAGAAGATAATTTGAAAAATGTGTAAGTGTTGTTTGTTTATACAATTAAAGTCAATGGGGTTTAATATTTTCTGTTGTGTTCCACAGAAATAAAAAAATCATACAGGTTTGGAACGATATGAGAGCGAGCAATGATGAATTTAATTTTTTAGTTAAAATTTCATTTATTAAAATGACACTTATATATATATATATTATTGCTGTCAATCGATTAAAACAATTAATTAATAGCACATTTTTCTGAAATTAATCGCGATTAAATTCCACCTAACATTAAAAATACATTAAAAAAAATACTTTTATATTGCAATAATTTCACATTCAATCTTCAAATTAATGCAGAAACAACAAAGACAGTATATTTTTTATATTTGTATAATGGCATCTTTTTTATGACTGAAGGCCAGTATCACTCTGATATCTCTATGAAATAGTTTTTTCCCCTAATATTTAACCATTGATTAGCCATTCAACTGTACAAAGCTATCAATTTGAACATTTACTAGACTACTTAAAATACCTTCTAATTTAAGTGAACTTAAAACAATCTTCACATAAACCCATTATAATAAATGTCATATTTACCTGTGCCCTTCAGCAAGTAGAAAATATACAGAAATTGAATAAAGTTATCAAACAATAAATTCTAAATTAAATATAGATGAATACTTGAAGCTAGGGGTGCTCCGATCCGCCTTTTTCGCCTCCAATACCGATACCTAGGGTTTGGTATTGGCCGATACCGATCCGATACCAGTGAAGTTTTTTCCCCTCATTTTAATAAATGTAGAATTTATACATCTCCGTGTGTGGAACTGATAATCATTCTTTCACAATCTACTAGATACAGACTACTTCATTATAAAGAAAAATAAAAGAAACAATAAATATGAAAAAATATAGGCCTATGTATATTTATAATCTATGACAAAAATTTATCATAAACTAGGTTAGTGGATAATTCGGCAGCAAAAGTTACTCTAGAAAAAATCAGTGCACAATAATTTTAGAAATCCAAACATTTAGTGAAAAAACAATATTTTGTGGGGAACAAATAAAAGTGTTGCACTAAATATGGTAATATGTTACACATTGCTATTTGTATGATAAAATCCATTCATTAAAAACATTTATATATATATTTAAGTATATACTATAAAATTAAAATACATTTCTTTAAATGTATAGCATATTTTTTAATAAGGACAAATACAGTGCAGCACAAACTGTTTTTATACAGTCTATGAGCACGAAGTGCTTACAATGTGCGCATCCGGTGTGCAGAATGATGGCGTCACAGCCTGACTGTAACCGAACGTGACCAGGGTTTAAAGGCTGAACGAATGACTGACAGCCACAGCGGAGAAAAGTGTTTGTGAACTTTAATGTAAGGACTTAAATATTCATATGTAGTTCACATTAAGCTATCGTATGGCTTCAGAAGTAACACAGAATAATTCGCACAATAGAAAAAAAAATTAAATAAAAATAAAATCTCGGATTTGGATCGATACCCGATTAGAGAAAAATGGCACTATCGGAGCCGATACCCGATATGAATATCGGAATCGGCGCATCCCTACTTAAAACTACAAAAGTTATTGATTTCCTCTTATTTTTTCTTTTGATCATTGATTACCAGACATCACACCAGCTGGTTATTAGGTTTTTTTTTGTCAGCTGTCCCTTTAAGAGCTGCCGATGCTGAACATGACGCGGATCTGACACACATCTCTACCTATTCTGACCCACTTCAGTTCTTAAAAGTCTCTAATGAGTTGAATCGGGTGTGTTAGATGAGGGAGACAGTGCTGGGCTGCTCCAGGACAGTTTGGAAAACCACTGCATTAAAGAGACATGTTCTTAAATGTGACTCATGTAACAAACATATACATGCACAGTTTTAAGGCAGCTTTAATTGGCTTTTTGGTAACTTCATGACTTAACTGACGACATAACTACTACGACATTGCATGCTTGTAGTTTCTTTTGTGATTTGATATGAAATGATACAGGCTACAAGCGCGTTGTCAGAACACCGGCGCCTTTGTGCGTCTGAAACATCTCCCGTTTGATTTGATCATAAAGACGTTCTGCGTTTAAATAAACGATGGTTCTTGTCACGAAAAAAAGAGACAGAAGTATCAGTTGTGAGTGGGGTGGCTAACCGTAGCCGGCGTTAAATATTTTTAACGTGTTAAAATTTAAAAAATGAATCGCCTGCGTTAACGCACTAATTTTGACAGCACTAATATATATATATATATATATATATATATATATATGCATATGCATTAAGTTGATTAAAATGAAGACATTTCTTTTTCAAAAAATAAAAAAATTTAAAAAGTCAAATAAACACTGTTCTTTTAAACTTTGTTCCTCAAAGAATCAAGGGAAAAAATAAATAAATAAATATATCAAGCAGCACAAACGTTTTTCAACACAGACTGGAGTAATGGCTGTTAAAAATTCAACTTTGCCAACACAGGAATAAATTACTTTTTAAAATAGATTAAAATAGAAAACATTTTACCACAAACTTTTGGATGATAGATTTTGTATTGGCTAATATCTTAAAGAAAGTACTTGTACTCATACTCTGACTCTAAAGGTCTCTGCACACTGAGTCCGATGCATATTAATTAATCTGTTGCGAAAAAAATAAATAAAAATCGCAAAACAGCACTAAATGGAGTCTTCAAGCAGAGAGGATGATTTTGTCCTCTCGCTTCTTAAAAAAAAGAAAAAGAAAGGCAATATTGGGTTCATCCAATCCTGAGATAGAGAGGAAGGAGAGTTCCACACCTCTCAAAATGCTTGCTACGGACGAATCGAACCTGATCTGGCAGCAGTGACATGTTTTCTTCTTGGAGCCACAGAGACATTGAGGTGAGCAGTAGAGTTTAGAAGAGCCACTACTCTGAAATGCTGTATGTCCCTTCAGCATGACCTTATTACAGGCTGTGCACAACACACCATGTCGTTTTAAAGGTTGAATGGATTTTGCCTGGATTGATGGTGCCTTTTCTGGGACGCCTACTGGAGCTCCTGTGACATGAAGATGTAAGAATGTAAAAACTGATTTCAGACACTTAAAAGAATAGCTCACTCAAAAAGGTGTTTTAATCCAGTTTGAAGGATGGTTACTATGCACTGTATGACAGAAAGTCATACAAGTTTGGAACAAATGTATTTAAAAAATATAATGCTTACGACCACCATAATGCTTATACCGATGGATGCAGCATTTACTCCAACAGAAAACGCACCTTTTATCTTGACATCATCTGATGTTTGGTCAAAATCCTGAAAGCATGAACATATTGGGATAATCCATAATTGTTCATTTACAGAAATGTGTGTAATAAACAGTAATGGATAATAGATGGTTGACATCAGAGAGTAAATAAGGAAAACGAAAATTCATGTAGTTCACATACAATCGCATTTATTGTCTAGAAATGCCATATATGCTCTGTCACATCTTCTATAAAATATATCTATATATCTATATATCTATATATACACTACCATTCAAATGTTTGTGGTTGGCAAGATTTTTTAAAATGTTTTGGAAAGAAGTCTAAAAATGTAATTTAATCGTGTGATGGCAAAGCTGTTATTTTCAGCAGCCATTACACTAGACTTCAGTGTCACATGATCCTTCAGAAACCATGCAAATATGCTGACTGCTGCTCAACCATGATACATTTTTTAGGATTATTTGATGAATAGAAATTTCAAAAGGGGGAAAAAAATGAAGAATTTACTGACTCAAACAGGGTTCCTACACATTTTCCATTTCAAAATTCCATACTTTGAGACTCAAATTGCCAAACCTCTCAGTAGACTTTTGTACAGCCTGACCAATATATTGTTTTGCCGATATTATCGGCCGATGTGAGCCTGTAGCAGATATATCGTATCGGCGAATATGAATTTTGTTTTACAGAACATATAATGCAGATGAAATGCTTCTAAATGGTGTAATTACTTAGTTTGTCAAGCAGAGTGCACTCCATTGTTTGCTACTGGTGGCTCAGGTCAGTATAGTGTAGAGATGCGCGGATGAGCTCAAACTTCACCCGAGTCCGCTACTTCAAATAAATTATCCGCCCGCCACTCACCGGAACTATATTTGATCGTCACATTACAATGATTCTAATTCTTAGTTTTGCATGATGATATGATGAATGGATGGTTCATTTTTAACAGCAGATTCAGTGACGTTAGAGCTGATCAGTGCATCACGGCACGCTTCTGTGGCGCATACGGCTCCGCGGCCACTCAGTCAATGCTTGTGTTTATACCGGCCACGCCGTGGCCCAGAACTCATGCTTATCACATCGGTCACATCACATTTCCTAACTGGGTGTCTACACCGGATGACAAAATACAATAGAACCCATTATAATCATTGATGCGGTCTCTATACTGGATGCAGCGCGATGCGACATGACAAATCCCGACAGTAAACTGATGCCTCATTCGTCGTTCTATTTATGACGTACTGACAAAGTACAAATGATTTTCAATGGTCGCTTTGTCGCGTCCAGTGTAGACATGGTGTGTCAGCACAGT